CTTCTTATCTACCTCCACAGCTTCAATCTTGGCCAGGGTAGCAAGACTCTCATCCCCTATCAACTTGCCAAAGACGGTGTTGAGTCCGTCTAGATGCGGCGCGGGAGCAAAAGTAATAAAGAATTGGCTTCCGTTCGTGTTAGGGCCTTTATTGGCCATGCTTAGTATTCCGCGCTCGTGGTGTCGCAGTGTTGGGCGGATCTCGTCTTCAAAGGTTGGGCCGTAGATTGACCGGCCTCCTTTGGGGTTTTCGGGCGGGGAAGGTGATGCGGGGGCGCCGGTTTGGACCATGAAAGCTGGGATTATGCGGTGGAAGGGGGAGGAGTCGTAGTAGGAGGATGCGCAGAGGGCTAGGAAGTTCTGTGACGAAAAGATGTATTAGTAGTGTGGGGTGAAGTGAAGGGAGAAAAGGGGAGGGGCGAAAACGGACTTCGGCTGTTTTGGGGACGCTTTCGCAGAATATTTCGATTTTGAGGTCCCCGAGGGTTGTGTGTAGTGTTACGGACATTGTGAAGTCTTGGTTGCGTAGTGGCGTTTGTTATGGGAAATTTTTGACATGCGATTTTGTTGCGACTTTCTCGACCCTCGAATTTTGGATTTGGAACAGGACGTCGCAGTAATAAAACGTGGCGGACCGTTCTGGAACCCCCATTGACGTCGTTTTTTTATTTTGGGCAACGGAAACCTTGGAATGGGCTTGGCTTCCGTTTAGGTTGTCAGCCACTGGGAAGCTATGACCATCAGTTAAAGTTCCCCCCTGTTCGTTTCGATGGGGTAGGTTTGAACTGTTTGTTGGTTCCTTTTGAAGATCAAACACATCTTATATCTACTTTTGGATTGGCATTATCATTTTCGGGGTTCTTGGGTTTTGGGGGGCTGGAGAATAGTTTGTTACGACGAGCTATGGCCCTGGTGTGTATGATCCATTTACCAAGTGCAGGAGTCTGGGCTTTTGAATTGCATGATGAACCTGGAAGCCACCACTTTGGTCCCCTGCAATTGCTTGCAGTGAGAATTTAGTTTGGACCGTAAAAACATGGGAGAAAAAACCAGGCTAACAACGGGTGAAACAACTGCTTAGGTCGCTTCGATAATAAACCGTTTTTATGATAACCCAGCTTCTTTTTGCCGATGCGAACTCAACAAGTTGTCGAATATCAGCCCGGTGAACTAGAGTTGACGAACACAACCAAACGATCTCGAATTCGGAACCCCACTCTTTGCCATTAGATAGCATTGGCCAGGACTCGGGGAGAGATCGGTCAACGAATGGAGCTAGGCCAATGCAGGAACAGCCAACATTGTACGGACGTGAGCGGACTTTTTAGAGATGTGACGGCAGGCAATTTTCAGCAATGATTTGTGATGATGTTTGGTCAGCGTGCTAGCGCATCGATGAATCCCCTTTCAAGGTTGGGATGATGGGATCCAACCCACCTACAGAAGCCCGGGGTGCCCTGGCTCTTCCAAGCTTCCTCGTAGCTGAGCCACTTGTTGGAAAGAATTCCATCACTCTCCCCCTCCTCTCTCAAGGTTCCACTGTCCCCTCCGCTGTCCGTCCAGGGCAGTTGCGGCAGGCACCAAAAGATCTCCAGCGACAAGGCTGCCACGCTTTTCCCCTTTCTTCTACGGATTACTTGCATCCACCTTTTTTTTTGGGGGGGGTGGTGTTTCCAATCTCTGTAAGGCTCCGTCGGTGGTCTTTTTGGTCGGTATTTTGGGATCTTTTTCCATCTCTACCTGGTACTCAGCCCTTCCTTTTCCCTTTTCCAGAAACGAATGACGCGAACCCCGGGTTTCGCAGTCCCGCACCGCCCACGTCGTGCCCCTCCATCTTGTGAGCAGCCTCTCAGTGTCCCCGAGTCTCCGTTGCACCAGTCGAGGACTCCAACAAGTGTGAAAGGTCTCGGCGCAGGACGGGACGACGCTGCTGCGGGACCACCCAACACGCATGTACCCAAGGCTACCGAACTCGACGACGCACACTCACACACAAAGAGCAGGGCGGTTCCAGGTCTCTTTCTATTCGGCCCCCGCAGCCCTCCTCCAAGTAGCATAGCATACCCCAACGTGCAACGACTGCGAAGAGTAAGCCCTGCCGTTGACTGCAGCATTGTTCTCCGGCACTGTACCTTTTACGATACGGCGTCGCCCGTCTAACCTCCGCCTCCCCGAGAATCCTACAACTTCATAGTTCGCAACCACCACCACCCAACTCGATAATCGCAATCCAAATTCAACAACTCGCCCTTGGTCGCAACGTTTTGGTGCGCTCTGCTGTGGCGGATAGTCAATGGTGACGCCCATGCCCGCGCAGCCTCGATCCAGCTTATCGATACAGTAACACCGACGATATACAACTGGTCGAACCCCTCACCTCGTATCGCAGTCGGCGACCCCAGCCCCAACTCGGCGAGCAGCCGGTCTCTGCGGGCCCCTCCACTGATTCTTGACGACCGGGAAGGCGCAACGCCGTAGATGAATGAGGACGACGGCCACAACGAGCTAAAACGATTAAAAAGATAGTGACAACAATATTTAGAACCCCGGTCGGGGCGACGACGACGGCAGAATGAATGCGATAAATGCTCCAGCAACCGTGAGGATATCCGGACCACCAAATAGCAGCTTCTTGGTGGGATATCCGGGCATCTCGGCAACGCTGGTGAGTTTCATTTTTTTTTCTTTCGCATGCTGTTTCGTGGTGCGCGCACACATGCGGTTGAGTTCTGTGTATTTGCTGACGCCAGCTTCCTCACTCCGGCAGCCTAGAATAGTAGGCAAGGTAGAAATTCGACCAAGCGCAGGTTTCTCAGCTCCAGTAAATGTTTCGATGGTGCGGATATGCTTGCAGCGACGAGAGACGATACACCCAGCAGCGGAAAATGTTGCAAAAAGACATCTTGGTACACCAAGGAGGGAGACGACTGATCTAGTCGGCAAGGAAGTGTTATTATTCCGATGTGTGTCTGGAAAGGAGGCCGAGAGCGTCATCGCGATGGATCTGCCGTTTCAAATATTTATTCCCTTTGGGCGAGGAGGTGAAGAAACGAACCGACGCATTCCACCAGCAAGTCTTCAATTACCAAGTCGAATCGCCGAGACGTACTACGAGCTGGTCGTCACGGTGCAGCAAGGGTCGAGCATGCAGAATCGATACACCTTTCCAATCCCACTTCAACGATACGATACCCTTTCAACGTTCGGCATGTATAATCGGCCAGAAAGCAAGATGGTGACGGCGGACAATGTTGTGACTCTGGGTATTTCGCTGCCAAAATGGAGTTATGGCCCATTAGATCCCATTACAGTGTACATCAAACTGTCACCTAATCCGGACTGGCTGAACAAGGCCAAGAGGGTGACGATACAAAAGATTACGCTCTCCATTGAGGAGGAAATAACGTTTAATCCGGAGGGGGACGAACCGACCAAAAAAATCAACAAGATTGCCAAACACACCCAGACTGTGGGGACCAAGATGACTGAGTCTGGATATGTCACCAACCTTGGGCTTGTTTTCCCCGCGCGCGATCTGAGGGATCCGGATGGGATAATAAAAAGGGGCAAGCCTGGGTTTCCGCTTTATGAGGTTAATAGTTTTACTACGTCTTCTACGCTCTACAAGATTGAATTCTTTTTGAGCATTAAGGTATGGTCTTGAAACACGCGGATACCCGAAGTTATAGGTCCTGACAATTTGCTCCACAGGCACATATGACTTCGGCCAGAGACATCACATTACGTCAACCTATTGTGATTTGTCCGATGGATCAGCAAGCCTGCAAGGAGGAAATGGATGCCATCGAACAGGCAGCGAAGGATGCGTCGCACATTGATCCAAACAACCCGATGCTCCCGGAAAGAATTATTGTGCTTGCGCATGAGAGGGAAGCAATCCGACATTTGGGGCTGTGTGAAGTTGCAGGGGTGAAGAAAATGTTGATTGAGTGAGAAGGAGAGTAAAAGGATGGTGTTGACGGCAATTCAGCAGAGTGCGCGCGAATGGACGGACGACAAACGGTGGTCCGAACAGGGACAGCGACAGTTCTTGCTTTTGCGAGTGAGACTACTGAGGGCCTGTGGTAGACATGCCGAGTCGAGCTGAGTCGGTCGTGCCGCGGGGAAAGGGAGTGGAGGCTGAGCCAGTTGCCGAATTAGGTAAATTGCCGACTCCATGAACCAAATGACGCCGGTGAGATCCAGTTGCAGACATGTTCTGCGCTGTGGAGCGAAGAGGTTACTTTCACCCTGATACGCTTCAAGGAATGACGGATTGAAAGAGAAAAGAGGGTGGGAAATACATCCACCTTTGTTGAGAGAAAGACGCAAGTATCGGACTCGAATATGTTGGAACCTGCGGGGAACAATATTTGGAGATATATACACACAGATCACCCCTCTCCTATGTGTTCTTATTTATAGGCTCGGGCTGGGAGTCACGGGAGGCGGCGGTGGCATTTAGGGACTGGCCTGGCGTTTTATATATTATCATGAGCCGAAATACCCCTGGGTCTGGGTGTTGGTTTTTGGAGTTTATGGTTGCCTGAAGGAGAGTCGGAAGGCTCAACCAACTCCTGGATATGGAATACGAAGGCCAAGAGGCGGAATGGATCTTCATGATGGATCTTCATGATGAAAGTTATTTTTCAAGTCCCAAATCGGGATTTCATGTATAGGATATATACTTCTCTTTGGAGAAACAAGTCGGGTTACTGCTAGCTGTTGATGAGTTATACATAGCTGTTTGATGGATGAATAAAGATGACGATTGAGACATGATATCAAGGAAGACAACAAGCCATTTTAGGGTTTGTGAATATCAGGTCCGAATAGCTTCAGCTATGAAAGGAACATCTACCCAAGCTCCAGATCAGGAGATTTCATGCGGTTGGTCTGAGTGAGGATCATGGCAGGAAATACCTATGGCCTCTTCCAACCACCAAGCGACAAAAATAAACAGCCTTGCAAAGGGGATAGATACCCCCAAAAAGAAATCATGACAAAGACGAGATTCGAACTCGCGAGGTTTCCCACTGCGGATAATAGGAGTAAATTCCTAAACACAGCGCCTTAACCACTCGGCCACTTTGCCAGCGAAGTAGATATGTTTGTTGAAACGTTGATTGTGATATTTGGAAAAGCGCACTGTGACAGCGATCCTTTCCCCTCAGTGGGGCCTGCCTCAGGGTGGGGCAGCAGTCCCAAGAAGCTCTGTCAGATTGTTTGTTTTGTCTTTCTCCAAAAAAAAAGTTACACTTTTGAACTTTCTTTCTCTCTCGAAAAAAGACCAGTGATCGCGACAGCACACACGAACTTTCAGCCTCAGTGACACGAGATCCCGAATTTACGCCGCTCGATCTCATCATTTCCCAATTAAAGCAATCGAGACAAACAAACAGTCAGACAAAAATGCCACTCGACGACGACGACAACCCCACCCTCTCCATCTCTCCCTCCCCATCCCCTCCCACGGCCACCGCGGGCTCCAAGATTCCCGGCGGCGACGATGCCTTGACCCAAGAAGCCGACGACAACCTCCTCCTCCTCGAAGAAGAAGAAGAAGACGAAACCTCGGCCTCCCAAAACTTCCTCCTCTTCAAGAAACAAACTCACATCTCGGCGCAAACGATCCGGAAGGGAGAAAAAGACTTCGAGTCGCACGGGACGCTTCTCCAATCGAACGCGCTCGAAGCGAGCCGAAGCGCGATGCAGGAGGTTCTCTCCTACACGCGCGTGCATTCCAGCTCGGGTCCGGCTGTGAGAGGTTGGGTTTTCGCTTCGCACTGGGAGGAATACGAGGAAAAGATTGAGGAGGAAGAAGGGAAAAAAAAAGCGTGGGGTCACTTCAGGGAGAGGGTCGTGATTCTGGAGGGGTCAAATACTTCCACGCAGAATTTGGGCAGGGCCGTTGTCGGCCAGGCCAAAAGTGCGGCGGGGAGGGGGAGGGATTGGCTGTTGCCCGAGGAGGCGCTGTATCTGGTTGAGAGGGGGAGTATGGAGCTGTGGTGGCCCACAGCGGGGTTGGAGAGTTTGTTTCCTTCTGGGGAGGGGCAGGAGATGGTTGCAGAGAAAGAGGAAGAGGAAGATGAATATGCAAAGGGGTTTCCGTTGAGTTTGCAGGCTGCTTATGCTCTGCTTATTGGGGAGGAAGAGGAGAGAGGGAAAGTGAGCTTGAGGAGGTTTCAAGTTTATTCGAATCTGAAGAGGTGTGGGTATAATGTTTTGAGGGCGCCGCCGTTGCCGACATTGACAGCGGACAAGGTAGTGGAGCAAAGGGGGTTATGGGAGTGGTTGAGCACTACAGTGGTGGGGTGGACGGAGAAGAAACCAGCACCGTTTGGACCGCTGGTGCAGCCCGGGTTGTATAGGTCGTATGCCTCGATTTATAGGCAGATGGCTTTGATTCCGCGACATAAGCCTTCGCCTGTCTCAAGAGGGGAGACGGTGAAGGATCCGTTCGAGATTCATTATTACGTGTGGAAGTCAGCGCAGAAGTGGTCGAAGCTGAGACAACCACCGCCGGATTTCTACATGTCGATTGTGGATGCGCAAGAGTCCAATGTTCCCCAGCTGGGAGAGATTTCGCCTCTGATCGACGCGACGCCTCCTGCGGGACCAAAGCCCGAGTGGAAAGGAGTGGGAAGGATATATTCACGGTTGAAGCATGGACACAGGAACGTGTTGGTAGCGGTTGTGGACCATGGGGTTATCAATTACATGAGGTTTGCGGAGGCTGCGTTTGGGGAGGAGAGCGTTTATGGAAGGTTTGATTATAGGAAGGTGGGAGGTCCGAAGCTGGGGAGAGGAGGTGGGAGAGGTGGTGGGAGAGGCGGCGGAAGTGGAAGGGGTGGCAGAGGGGGGAAGAGGGGTGGTGGGAGAGGACGGACGGGGAGAGGGTAATTCGAGGTTTGAAAGTTTTCCTCGTTGGATGTCAGCGGAATGAAGTTGTATGATTAGGGTTGTTAAAATGTCATGGGATTGTGCTAGATGGGCGATGATAGATAGCGGCTTATTGATACCCCCAAACTATAGAAGAGTATACAGGTATGGTTTCAAATGACGACTTGCATGGCATCTTAGTTTGGCGGCGGGAATTGACACGACTTGGGTAAAGGAGTTCGGGATGCTGTACCCGTTTCTTTCCCGGTTGAGGGATGTGCCGTCCAGGTTTACAAGATTTCAGGGGCGCTGGCAAGCCAGAGATATAGATTAAACGTTACACAGTAGGGTCGGAACAGTTGCCTCATCCTCTGAGACATAAAAACTTGGCTTTGCATTTTGCTGTAGGTAGGTCCGACTTTTTGCTGAAATACTAGAACCGAAAAAAGGTGTGTGCGCGTGGCTTACGCCTTTTCGCGCAATTTCTATGTCGGCTGACGATGTTCCATGGGCAAATGTGACTGGTTCCGGTAAAGGGCCTGTGAGTTAAGACATTGAGAGGGTTGGCAAAAAAGACTGTTGGTGGGCTTATCCGAGCTGATGTCCCTCTTTGAACATAATGACAGATTGTCAACTCCGGTCTTGTTTCGCACATCCGTCAGTCAGTGACACACGGAATCCATCACTACCTGTAGGTCTTGTCCTTGGCGTATCGCCCTCTTGGTTCTTATGACTAGTATATCAGTGGTTACCACATGATATGAAAAGTGGCGTTTTCCCACCGTTGTGTGAGAGATTGAGACATTCGGGGACTCGGGATGACGGGTGATCCACCCGAGCGAGCGATACATGCAAAAAAGCGCCGAGAAGGGACCTGATAACATCAACACTACTCTGTGACTGTAACTCACCGGAAAAATCACACGCATTGTATCATCCCTCATCCTTGAAAGAGGCAGCCTTATGGGAAATGCAATGTCTGGCGTCGCACCCGCCTGACCTGGTTTGTGATTTAGGCTGCATTTTGTCCATGCTTTTTGAGTTGCATTCTCGCAGCCGGCCAATTATTTCAGAGGAAGTGGGTCACTCTAAACTGTTGAAATTGGACCTGTGGCGGTGACAAGATTTCTGTCGTCCGATGATGAGGATCGTTATGATTATATTGTTTTGAGTGATTAACTCAGTCCGGTCAGACGGCGCGATTCGGATAGATAGTCGGCACCAAAAGGTTCATGAAAAAGAGGAGCCTATCTCTTTCGTATACAATTGGAGCGGCGTAATGGCAGATCGTTATCGTTTATTATTTCGTGTAGCGGTGTTTGCATCAATTTGTTGCGACAGACAACATGTTTCAGCGCCCTGCACGAGCATCACGGGAACCAAGCGAGGTGACAAGAGGTTGCAAAAGATAAAGCCAGATGGCCTCAGTCCCTTGGAACTTGGAAGTCAGGTCGGTATTAGGTAGGTCAAAACTCCAAAAAGACGCCGATGGAGGGAGATGCAAGGAGAAACTCAAACTTGCTACGTATCTCATCACCTAACCTAAAAGGATGTCCCAGTGTCTTGGCTCTTCCGTACGGTGGGGATGGTTCAGTGATCGTCACTTCCTTCCAGGAACAACTATTGCCATGGTCTCTCTGTATCGATTGGAAAGTTACAGACCTGGGAAATCATCAAATAATTAATTGTCTCGAGAGAGATTCCACGTTGGTATCAACATTCGAGGTGGAACTTGGCAAGATTTCTCTCGCTTATTATTAGCTGGCGCAATTTGGCTGAACAAAGAAGGTAGGTGAATCATCCCACCATCCTATCAGGTAATGTACATGTACATGTGCATACAACAGCAAAAGAGCACTGACTTTCGAAGAGTTGGATTGCCGGGCTGATTTCTTCAACCTTGTGTTTCAATTCATCATTTATCATTTATATCTTCCCACACTTTCCCATACCCACACCTTGTTCTCTCTTTTCTCTTTTTTTCCCTCTCTCTCCCTTTTCTCGTCGTATTGCTTTCTTTTATTTCCCCCTTATAAAAAAATAACATCGATTGAAACTCATCATCTTATTATATTATCATCAGCAAGTACGTATACAAGTTTTACATTATACCCGACAGAGGCTTCGTCGCGCATTCCGGGTTACTCCTTCCCGCTCCGTGTTGTCACGCTTCGCTTCAAACCCTCGAGGTGGCTCGGCGCGTTCTGAGCAAGTCCCACTGGCATTGGCACAGGCACTGGACATTGAGTGGATCGATTGAATCCAATGCAAATAAAATATCATCACCACCGTCATCATCATCCTCCTCATCATACACTGAATAAAGACATTATCCCCGACGTCTTGTATCATTTATAAATTCAGTGACGCGCCAAGCTCTCCCTGAACAGACACCGCTGGAGTTAATTGCCCAGTGGTCAGTCTTCGCACTCTCATACCACACACTGCGCTCTTAGTCCTTTGTCTTTGCCGAGTAAGTAAATGTCATCATCCATTGAAGCGGGCTTGATAAACGTGGCTTGTGGCTTGCGGCGATATGACTTCATGTTGAGTGGGACTCGAGGTTTGTTGACTACACGACATGCGTGCTGATGTTGACTTTGTGCTCTTTCTTCCTCCTAGTGTTTTGCCCATCATCGCCAGTAGCGCACGTACTCAAGCTAACATTCTAATAGTCTCGTCATCCCATCTTATAATTAATCACTCTCATCTTATCTGAAAGATGTCGAAAAACATTGAAGGCGACAATGGCCCCGATCCCGGGAAGGCGATTACGCCTGAGGCTTCACCCGAGCACGCGTCACCATCACCACCGCCGCCGCCGCCACCAGCACCTGTGCAAGAAATTAAACTTAACGAGAATCAAGACGACAAGATCAAATCTGAACAAGTCGAAGAGTGAGTAATAGTGGGCTTGCCATCACAGTGTGGCATGAGCTGGAGATGCTAACACAAGGGCCGCTCTTCAGAGTTGCTGCCACAGCAGCTGCACCTTCAGTCAGGCAAGCTCAACCTCATTCTACCTCACTTAATACTGTGCATGCACACGGACTGACAATGCTTGGACCACAGCGATATGGAAGTGTCCCAATCCCCTATAATCGAGACTCCCGTAACGCGAGACTCCGTGCAGAGGTAGGTAACTATATGGAACTTGCACAGCACCCAGTGATGTCCCATAACTTCCGTTTGCGAGTGCAGCGGACACCACGA